AGGATGAGCACATTAGATTAGCCAGGATACCAGTGAAGAGTAGAAGAAAGGCAAGCTTGGGCACAGGGTGAAGTTAAAATTGAGGTAGTTGAAAATTTGGGTCCAGGTTACAGGTCTCAGCTCTGCCCACTTTGAAATGCCAGAAGTGTGCAGAAAGCTACAATGATTTCCTACCCAAAACTGTTCTTTTTTCCCTAGTCAGTGCAACAGCAGCAGGTTCTCATTATCCCAGCTGTAGCACCAGAGCATTTCCTAGGGAGAGGGAAAAGTATTCTGGCTGCTCCTAACTCCTGAGACTGTGGTGAGCTTGGTTGGCTTCCCTGCTCAGGGGACACCAATTCCCAACTCCAGGCTAGAGAAGGTTGTGTTTGGGGAGATGGAAATGAAATAAAGGGCTAAACTCGTCCTTTGGTGCAAGCAGTTGTTAAAACTGTTGCAGTGAAATCCTTTCTGCTCCTATAAGAGCCATTTTGACCCAGGTTGCATGGCATTACCATGCACACATTCTATCTGGGATGGCCAATAACTAAACATTTGTGCCATTCGCAGTTGTTTCTTCCAGCAAGAATTTCTGGCATCAACTCTTCGGAGGCATAACAGCCAAAATGGGTCAAGACTTTTCAAATAAAGACACATTTTCCATCTTACCTATCTTAAAAAAACAAGTGCTTCCTGAGATCTCCATTTTTAAGTGAGATGCTTTGCAAAGGTGTGATTCATCTTTTTAACAAGAACTTGCTTCTATATTTAAAAAAACAACTAAGTATTATTGGGAAAGCCTCTCTGAAGTTAAATAGTCAGATGTGATTGTCAGATCACGTCTGACACCAGCAAAAGAAGGAGCAAAGTTAAAGCAACTAATGAAAACTGCTCCGTACTGCCAGCTTGGGCACTGAGTTGTTTTTTTCTGAAGCATTATTTATCTCATCTTACTTGTCAGTTTGTTCTTTTCTCATACCTTTGTTATGTATTTGATGTCGTCATGAGAGAAAACTATAAAAATACCTGGAACTGGACCTGCCACAAAGTATTTTAGACATTGTTGAATGAGTGATCCAGAGATTACTAGCCTGAAATCCATAGTCCCGCTGTATCTTTCTGCAAATGAGCAAAATAGGACTGTATGTCATCTGCTCTACTTTATTCCAAGAATTGCATTAATTCTTCAGTAGTACTGAGGCTCTTTCTGCTGTTCTACCCACTTAGCAGTAGATGACAATGGAGCTGTGGAGCTACTCCAGGAACAGCATAAACTGGGTATCACATGAAACCGTCTCTGAGTCATCTGAATTAAAGCCCAAAGTCGAGTTCTGACGAATTTTGGTGCGAACCCTCTTCTCGATGTGCCATTTCCCCTTGTTGAGGCCAAGCAGCAGTCCTTACCTTCAGCAGTTTCATGAGGCCTTCTAACTGAACCATGAGCTCTCTCCGGCTTTCCTGGAGAGCAGACATCCTCTGTTCCAGCTCATCCTTCCGCTGTCTGAAGAATAAGATTTCGAATCAGAGCTTATCCCTCATAATGTCAGCATTTCAACTTGTTAACTATGTCGTTTCCCCGGTGCTACTGTGAGGCTGCACCTACAGAGTGCAGGAAAGTAAAACCTTCCTTTGGATTCAGCATAGTGCTTAGAAAGTAAAGTTACATGAAAGCTAGGGCATTCCCTTGTATTAAGAATACTTAAAGAGCAGAGTATAGTTATTCAGGAAAGACAGACACTGACACATGCCCTTCTCCAAACAGCAAATGAGCTTCAAACAAATCTGGGTATATCTTCTCTTGTGGAATTGTCTGACAGGGATTTCACTTTTTGTCTTTGAACCTCCCTAGTCAATAAGCAGCTCACTAACTGTCAAAAAATATAAACTGATGCCTTGAAGGACATGAAATTACAGCAGAGGCACTAAACAGATCAAGATATCAGAGAAGCTAAGAGAATTCAGAAATGCAGCCAGAACACCACAGTGATCTGCACTGTTTCTATTTTTCCCAAAAGCCAGAGTAACAATCACAAAGTGGACCTATAACAGGCTGAAAACAGCTCGTTGGCCTCTGAGGCCAATGCTGGTCCTGTGACAATGTGAATAATGCTCCACTCCAAGTTTGACAGCTGCTTTGTGCCCACGTAATGAGAAGAGCTTTGGTTTCGTACACCTCAAGGCATTGCAGGGGGTCCTGGATGGGGCTTGCATGTTGTGAATCACCACCAAACTGCAGGAGAGATTTCCAAATAGACACTAAATATAACTGCTCCCTCCTTGAAGCTATGATATAGTTAGCAAGGGTGCTGTTGAAAAACGTGTTTATTGGGCATTGTTTTATACAGCGCTGTGTGACAAATATCACAAAAATACTATGTCACGAGCCTGATACTACCTGTAAAATGTGACACTTTTTTTCTCTCCCAGATGAAACAATACCAGAATCAGCAAAACTAAATATGTTTCCTATATGTAAGGAAATACGAAGACATTATTTTGAGTCTTCTATGTGGGTTGTGTGAACACTTACTCATAAACACCACCAATAATTTTTTACATATATGTGTGCTATCTCTCACCTATATTTTAGGGTCAGATATTAACAATGTCAGGATGAATTTATTCTTCTGGAGGATTCTTCTATGCTGGGTTTTCTTTTCTGAGCACTTAACAGCTGGAAATGCTGTGAATTGTGCAAAGGCATCTGAGTGGTAATAAAAAATAAGATTCCTGTAATTTAAAGTGCCAGGTCCTAGTACATATCTCTATTGGGTTTTACAATCATTCTGTAGTGAGAGAGAGTCTAAATAATAAACAGTTTACAGCCACTCATATTTTTCTGCTGTGGTACTCCAAAAAAGTTCTTAGAAGCAATGGGCTTTTCAACTGTCTCAAGGACAGTATTAGCAAAGTGAAAAACTGGGATACCCAGAAACCCATTTCAGCATCTGCAACAGAACAGCAGCTAATGAGACATGTTGGTGCAGACACCCACAAAAGAATTTTCAGAATCCACCAATTCTTAATATTATATGAACTAAAATACGCTAATGCCCTAATTGCTTCGAGTCCCCAAATCTGTGGGTTAACTGATGTGCATCAGTGCTGCTCTTTGATTTTTGTAACGTTCCTCTGCTCCACACATGATAAGAACAGCCTCAGGACTTCTTAAATGTACAGTTATATTTTGCCAAAATTCCACAGTAAATCTTAGCTTTCAACTGCTGAGCAACTTGGGTGGGTATGCAAAGCAGTACAAATCCACAGATTAAAAGTTTTTTGCCGAGTCTGACACTGCATATTAAATTAGAAAAGATACTGTAATTGAGGAACTCAAGAGCACTGCCCTAGGGACATCCTATGTTAGTAAATTTAAACAATGTTATTATGCTTTTAAGATGTGTAGCAACTTGAAAGAAGGGAAAATTAAGTAGTTAAACAACTAACACTGTGCAATCATTTGATTTTTTAGGGATAATATATTTATTTTTCAACTATATAGAAAACCGATCTCCTAAACCTGCTTAAAATAGACGTTAGGCTTGATGCACAGAATGAGCTACAGCAATAGTATATTTTGTGCAGAGTATGCATTTTGAGCACATCCAGTTTTATTTTTTTCAGTCCTCACGGAAGGTCCCTTACTTGTAGGTACTTAGGATTAATTACATACTCATAAAAGTGCTCATACGAAGGAAAAAACTAATTTGGCTTCAGACTGGATAGCAAAAGTAAATATTTGAGAAAAAGTGAGATATTTTAGAGTGTGTAAAACTCAACAGTAAAACCATGTAGTATTTGTAAGTAAGATTTTACCACACTTTCTTACGGCACTTTCCTTCAGTTATGACTTAGCCACCTAAAATACTATTTGTGAGAGAACGAAGCAGCTATTTGGCCAAAAGAATCCTTTAGTTTTCTCATGAGAAAAACTCCTGTATGGAGGGATAAAATTAACCATTATTTAACTAGGAAAAAAGTATTTATACGCCAATCTTGATATATGAAAAGTGTTTTGAACTCTTTCTGGTTCTTACTGGATTCTCAATTTGGCTCTCACTACAAAAAAATCAGCACTTCCAGGAAAGCTACAGATCTGGGCCAACAACAATTGTTTTCTCTCGATGCAATATACATGGCAATTAGTGTATCTATTTAGAGTATCCTAATTAACATGCCCACACACATATATTGATGTTTTTAGCTTGGTGGGACAATTAAAGAAACAATCCTCTAAATGGTATTATTCCTCACTTCTGACATGACATGGAGGGTAAACCTGGAGCCCATTTTTTCACAGAGAAGACTGACCTCTTCTTAGAGTTCAACACATGGGGGATTTTCCAAAAATTTAATGTCTAATTCTGGATATATTTTCATGCAACTCTCTATATAATTTAGTATAAATGAGAAGTCTTTGTAGAAGCATTTGTTCTGAGAGAATAACAGTTTTTCCCCTGCATAATGAATGATATTTGGAGATGGCTGTAGGGATCTATTCCAAATGACCTGAGGGTCTCACTGTAAACACTAATGCACATATTTAATTTAATGCAGATGAGTCATATGTGAGATTCCTCATGCATGCTGTCTAAAGCGTAAGCTTAGTTATTTTCACGACTACAGCCCACACTGAAATGGGGAAAAAATCCACATTATTCTATTAACTTAGAACACCCCCAAACTTTTAAGTCAGGGTTAAATGACTCATTTCTCGTATTTCTTCTCTTGCTACTCAGTGATTCCTGAGGGTGTTACTGCTATGCACTTACCTGAGGAGCCGGAGCTCCGCAAGGAGAGTGGGATTTTGCTGTGCCTTCTCCGGGGTGGGCTGCGATGCCTGCTCGTGTTCAAGCCGCAGCCTCTGGATCTCCTGGAGGATTTCTCTTGGGGAGGAGAAGAAGACGACAAGTCAGTTCACTTCCATGAAACCAGCTTTGTGCACGTCGCAGGAAGAGGAAAAGTGTAACTGTAAGCAGTTCTGCACAGTTCTGCACTGCGAAAAGCTCAGTGAAGCTCTAAACGCTACGGCAGGTTTCTGGATATTTTTAATGTAAACTTTTAGAACTGGACTATAAAAGGGAAATATTTCTTCATGAAATGTTCTCCCCAGAATCAGAGCGAGACATGAAATGGCTACATGCTTAGTTAAACAACGCCATAATTCTAATTCTTCCCCAAGAATATTTCAAGCACCACACAAACTTATCAAAACCTCGAATAATATCTGGACCATCTTCAGCATCAGAAAAAAATGTTTTGCATTGAAAAATGTCTCTTTCAGCTTAATTGCAGATTTGAGAGTGGTCAGCAATTCATGAAGAAGTACTTTAATAGGGCTTGTTATGACTGAATTCCCGACACGTGAGTGCTGTCAGAACTATAGTATAAGGCTTCACAGAGGAAGACTGAAACATTTGTGTTTTTTTTTCCTTGTTTACAATGCGTTGGATGACAGTTAGGAGGCAGACTCAAACTATAAAGACAAATCAAGAGTAGAGGCAGTTGATCACTACAGTGACAGAAGACAGTGCACTTTGGAATAGGAAACCAGCTGGTTTGGGTTGTCCTGTATTTCACAGTCCAGCAGTAAAAACAGAGCTTTGCCCTCACACAGCTCATGGCATCAGGCAGCCTCAGACCTAAGGCCAGATCCTCTGCTGACTACAAATGGTGTCACTCCACGGATACCTCCTCTTTTGGGTAGCCAGGCTATTTCTCCCAAATACTCCTACAGTCAGTTACATCTGTGCCTAGTTTTTGACTTGACCAGCAGCCTAACTTACTGCTAATGTTTTTTCTTTAAAAAAAAAAAACACATTTTTTTCTCATATGCTCATGGATTTTAAAGCCTTTGTCTTATACTGTGGCTATTTTCATGCCTTATTTTTTTGGGAGGCGTAAGTATGTGCGTATGCATGTAAATTGTATAGACGTTGGAGATTAAAAATGTGTTAAAAACAGATAAACACACGCAATGTAGGGTACTGATGGAAGCAGGCACTCCGTGGATGCTTACCGGTTTTTGTTTTCAAGCTCTGCAATCAGCTGCCTTTGTTGCTTATTTGCATCAATGGTGAAAGAGATATCTGATGCTCCTCTCTGCTGTCCCTGCTGCTGCTGCTGTGAAAGAGAAGGCTGCACTGAGAAAGGAATAACCAGCACACACCTAGGAGTTCATCTAAAACAGTTCCACGAAATTCACTTGCAGAAAATAAAATATCAGGCTTCCCTAAATGAAAAAATAATCATCATCCATGTTGTGCCTCGTACCATACTGCTCCATTGCTAGTAAGAGCACTATAAGTGCTAGAGTAAATAAGAATGTGTTTAGCATCCTGTCATTCGTTGCTGCCTCAAGGAACTTCCAATGAACCAAGTGCAGAAGTGTCTAACCCCATCTGGCTGAACTCCAAGACAAGGGCACCGATGCTGCCAATGGCTGTAACATGGCTCTTAATTGGGATTCCTGCAGACAAGAGGGGAACACGGAGGCAAAAGCTTCTCTCTCCTAAAAAAAAGGGGATATTTCCACTTCGGTGATTCTTCCTTCCCTTGAAAACATGGTTGCACTTTCAGTCGGAAAGCTTTTGTATTCAGATTTGGTTACTTGACACGTCCAAGCCCTCTTATAAACTCTGATGATGCTTTCAAAAAAAGCTCTTTCACCAGTCCTTAAGGCACAACAAAATCTTCAAAATCTCTTTTTTTTTCCAATAAAGTGGGAATTAAATTACTTCTTACAAAACTAGGCAGAGCTCACTGCAGCTCTACTGAAGTAGACTATTCTCTTTTGTCATGTTTATCAGCAATAAAATATTGGTTTGTTTGCTCACACTCCCATATTTCAGCATTTTATGATGACAGTGCGATCTCAGACTTTAAAAGACATTTAAGAGTTTCATAACTATTAAAGGTACCCACATATTTTTAACTCTAATATCAAAGAATCAGAAAATGAGTACTCTGTTGAGTTATTACCATAACCTGACAAAAAAGACAGTATTTCTATCTTTCAGAAAACTGAAGGGCTAATTTAGTGCCCAATTTTAGGTGACTCCCCTCCTTGAAAGCAACACCTTGAAGGAGCTGCCCTTAAAAAGGTCAGACTAGACATTTTCAGTACTTTGTTAGTACTATGACTAGTTTTTGTAATTACTTATTGGTTTTCTGCTTCCTGTACATTTCCTCACTAGCATTCTGGCCATACAGGAACAGAGCATAAGAAAAGAAAAACTGAAGCAAGTGAATGGGTGTAACAATTGATGAAGAGCAAGGCAGAATTTTAACCAAAAGGCACAGTGTTACTAACACATTTTGTTCCTTGAGAAACAGAACGACTGCCAGAAAAGCTTGCAGAATTTCCATACCAATATTAATGGGGCTTTCAGAAATTGTGATACCACTTTTGTGTGCTCCTGAACAACTTCTCTACACTGAAATCTTCACTTCTTATTTTGTCTCTTTTATTTGAAATGCACAGAAAAATGAGTACCTGGATGGTAAAGACAAATTCAAAACATTACTCCAAATTAGGTCTATTTAAAATTTGCTTAAATACTATGTCCTAAGTTCCCCCACATATCAGGGGATACCGAACATGTTAGATATTTTGGATGCTACAGTTTCTACCTAAAGATATTTTTAATGGGGAATTTATGTCCCATATGGAATCACAGTCCTTCCGTGACAAAACCAGCACTTGCAGATGGTCTTAAATATGAGCCATGCTCTGTCATGTACCTGAAAGGGTCAAGAGGGGCTGAAAGCCGGTCGGAATCCGTGCTCAGCTCCCGTCGCTGCCCAGAGCGTGAAATCCTGCGGGGCAGAGGCTGCACCGGGGGGCAGATCCATCCTCACTCACTCCACGTGGGATGAATCGGACTCAGGGTTTTACATGAACAGTGTTGCCCCATTTTGCCCCATTTTTTTCAATTGACCCCACAGTGTAAGTCTCCACTTCCCGACACTCCGGACTGACGGGCTGTGTTTCCCTTAGCTATCATTTATGATTCCTTGTTCTATCAAATGTGCTGAGACAGGAAAAAACTAACTAGGCTGACCTGATTTATGCCATTTAAGATGTTATATACTTCAATTATGTTCCTGCTTCATTCCCTTTTATTCCTGAATATAGTTAGCAAGGTTTTAGCCTGTCACTGCCTTCTGTCTTGGGATACATAGAGAATAATCATTGCTCTGAAATGAAAATGGGAGCCACAGCTAATGCAGAGGGTCATTACAGTCACCCTGTTGAAGATCATTCTTTAAAATCCTCAGCACTTAGGGCCCTAGTGGCTCCGAACTAAAGAGCAAAATGGATTCACCATAACTTTATTTTTAACTGCATTAAATCATTAACCTTTAATCAAAGCTAGTCGAGCCAACATTTTCCAGTCTTGCTTGAGTTCAGGATGTCAGATTCCTTTTTCCATAATTGTTTGAATACTCTTACATTAGTATACAGATGATAGACGTTAGTATGTGGAATACTTTGGTTTAAATGACCTGCATGGAAGTATTAGCCATAAAGCACAAGAGAATCTGATACAAAGGATAGGGAAAATATTCCACGAACAATCAGGGTTGTCAGCTATAATTTTCCCAGTCTTGCCAAGCCCCTGAAACAATACAAAAGGAAAGTACTGCCTTTAATTAAAGCACTTACTGATGAAGAAGCTTCTGCTGCCAGCCTTGCTGCATACCTGGCGATCAGCTTATGCTCTTCATCCAGGCGACTTGCGCTGTCGAGCATGCTGGCCGTGTTGGTGGGGAGGAGGAAAGGTACATTAATGCACAGGAAAAACGACCATCGCGTCACCAGACCGTCTCTTCATGCACCCTTCGTGCAGAATTTAGAAGAAAATATCACCAAAATGTTTGCTATTAACTGAGCAAAGGGGAGAGTGGGTCGGGAATTTCTCTGCTAGGAGCAGCTCTACGGGCAGCATCTTTCCGTAGAGGGAAA